ATTTTTATTACTATATTTTACTTTACCCAGATACCATCACCAATATATAAGGGGTAAAGTCAACCGGATGTTTGAGAATCTTGATATGGCCCAAGGGCAAGTTTTTACATGATTCTATCCATTTTAGTCACAAAGACACACCAATACTAGAAAAACACGCTCACTAGATTTCATTGAGATAACTCACATATTCGCCATGCAGATAAAGTCAGCCGGAAGTTCGATAGGCACTGGAGTCCAATATTCGGTATCTGGGGCTTAACCATTTAGTCTTAAGACTCTAGATGGAATACCTTTAAGCCATTATTTGTGCAAAGTTTTACCGCGATATATTTTTTGGTGCTTTATTTGTATACTGGAAAGTGAAAGAATCAGATGGAATTTAAAATTGTTTTATATGGGATGTAGGCGTGGTTGTTGCCCAATTTCGCCCATTTTAACATAGTTATCGCTTTCACGGACAGACAGTCACTCGGAATTCATGTTGCAAGAGTATAATAATCTATGATGAAATAATTGTGTGTCATAAATTTATTGCAAAATGTAATTTTTCAAAACGGGTCATATGTTTGACGATATAGCATACATACCATCAGTAATATAGTACCAAACAAGCTACCGACAAAAATAATTTGCACGTTAGAAAAACAAGACAATTAAAAAGTAAACAAACCATCAAACTATTATTTGCTATGCCTAAATGGTATAGAATAGGTAAGATGCCAAATTTTTTATACAAAAATTTCGAAATTGATGTAAAACCACTTGGATATTCAAACTATTAATAGTTATTTCAGTAATTAGAATATTATATAAATCACGCATACATACTTTCTCATTTCGGATGGATATGCGAAAAAAAAATCATTGGCGAGTAATAATTACAAAATAAAATTTTGCATAAGTAGCTAATCAAATTATATTGTAATTATTACTAATTTCCCAAACATATTTTAAACTACACGAGAACATACTGACTGACATTTTATTCAACTAAACTGACTCTAGATATTATATCCATTTACAAAGGATATTCAGTAAACAAATGATGATTACCCAAACTCTTGAAGGAAATGTGGTAAGAATTACTTATTGTACCCTGAACAGGGTATATTTTGCAGGTCACGAAGTTTGAAGGTTTCCTATTAAGTAGTCTTAATTCGCCCCTGTCTTAATGCCCCTATGAAGAGCGAGTTTTAATCCATATGTTTCAATATCCGGAACATATTTTTTTACATTTCTAATTAAATTTTTCAATTCAATATATGAGAACCATGTTATAAAAACAGTTTTGTAGGAATGTTTGGTGAAAAATTATTTTAAAGGTTATTGGGTTTGTGCAAAATATGTCTGCTATAAGGTACAGAGTTTTGCACCATAATATGCACATTTTAATTTTATTTATTTTTGTATTAAAATTTAAAGCACAAATTCTAATTAGATTTAAAGAAGCTAAATTTAAGGAAGCTAAGTTTTATCGCAAAATGTATAATATAAAGGCATATATTGATGTAAATAATGAAAAAATATCTTAAGATATATTTCGATCTTACTTTTATTTAATCGTGTGAAGTATCAGCGAAAATTACGAAAAATTTTGTTTAGCACTAACGTAAGATATTAATGTAATTATACTTGTATAGTATTTATACTTCCGTAATGCCTATGACAGATGAAGTGATAGCAATAGCTACTACAAACGAATACTAGATATGTGTCACTAAATACTATACTACACTAATACAATGTAGTATTTTGCTGGTAACAATAAAATATTTCATCATGGTATTTTATAAAACACAGCTAAAAAGAGATAAAGAACTTAGAAAAAAGTTTTTACACATAAGCTCTTCAAAATAGTCTGTCAAAGTTACTTTTAAAATTAATTAATAAAACGGAAAATAAAATATTTTTTTGAAATGCATGTATTGAATTATTTTATGGCGGACTTTTAGGCACACTTTAACCAATTCTATTTCTTGTAAGGAAAATACATCCGTTTTTCATTATTTGAAATAATATTGCATTACATTTTCATCTATTAAATTTGAGACAGCTACTAGTATTAAAGTTTACAGCAGTTCAATGTGTGGCATCACTGTAGTAAACATATACCAATATTTGTATCATGGTAATGTTACCACATGCCTGTCACAGGCATGACAGAAAAAGATACAATAAATATTAGAAATCAAAATTTACTTATGAATATTGAAATTTATATCTAGTGTTTTGACTGAACTATACCTAAGTTGTAAATTTGTTAGAGTGAAATCGTAAACTGATATGTTTAGGATTTTTTATGAAATCAAATTCGCCTTTGTTTTGAAAATTTTCTACATTATATTAAGAAACAGCTGTTAAAGTACATTTTCTTTGATTTTGTTTGTTTTGAATTGTGAAAATAAAAATTCTATTGATTTAAAATTGTTTAAAAAACAACTGATATTTTCTGGCTAGTTTCTGCTGGTTTTCCGTTTCTTTACTTTTTCGTTATTTCGCTCTTTGTGAAAGTAACTGTCAATTTTCTTCTCCCTACTAGCTAGCAGCTACTAGCAGTTAAGATACAGACCTATTTCTTAAGAATACAATAAATTTGATAAAATAATTAATTTACTATGTTTACACTCCCTTACTTAAAATTCTTTAATACGGTGTAATTTAGTAACTAATTAAGTTGAGATTATTGCAGACTATATAGAATATCAAATTTTGAGAATTAAATTTTTTCCTACGTATCTACTACGGTGGGAAAAAACTCCCTTCCGATAAATATCTTTCAAAAGAATATATTGTGGAAAAATGGCGATTAAGCTACTAAATTAGCGTGTTGTACTGCACACAAGTCACTTAACCGGTAACATTACCACACTCCTTTAATATAATTGTAAAATGAGTAAATCGGAAAAGGAATTCGTCTACATCTAACGTAATTTTGATACCTAAGTTCGGGTGTAACCGAACATTTTATACTCTTGCAACTTACAATGTGCAAAGCAGTAAAAATACTTTCAGGTGTTGCCAAAACTTCAAATTAAATATATTGCGAAGAATTCAACATTCATTATTTGGCGAAATCGAGAATGAATTACAATCAAATTCGATATTTTATTAAGTTATATTATAGTTCATAGACTCAATTAGTCTTAAAACTATTATTATATTATGATTAAGTATATCTCATAACTCTCATATAAACTTATCCGGAGAGGCTAAATTTAATATTTGATGTTCAAAACGTCAACCAGAAGACCAAGGTCTAGACCAACTCCATTCATGTTCATCGCTAAACCATTTACATAATAATGTTTGTTAGAATAACGCAAATAATTATTTGTAGTATAATATAATTTCACATATTTTCGAATTTAAACTAAAGTATATCCAATATTATACGTTCAGCTAATTTTCCTAAGATATCTTACATATTGATCGATATATAGGGTATAAGGTCAACCGGAAGTTTAAAAAATTTTTATTAGGCATATGGAAGATAGGTGTAGTATTGACCCAATTTTATCTATTTTTGGCGTTACTACATATTATTATATGTAGAACCGAGTTTCTATTGCGTTGAGATATATTATAGAAATTCGGAGAGAATCCTTTTCTGATAATAGTATGCCTGTGTATCAAAATTGGATTGAATCGAATCAATAATTACCTTAGTCCCAATAAACATAATTTAAAAATCTTCGAAATTGGGTGAAAACCTGCCCCCATATAACTAATAACATAAAATCAGGATTTTTAAACATCCGGTTGAACCTACTCCTTATATATTGTTGATGACATGTGAGGTACCTTAATGAAACTCAGAGAGCATATGTTTCTGCTAATAATTTGTATGTGGTATGTGAGGTAAGTAAGTTTAATTCACAAGCTATGTACAGGTAAGTGTGTTATGATGGGTAAGAAAATCGATTTTTTTGGTTGATCTCAAAAAAAGTATGAGGTCTTAATAATAAGAGGAAAGTTTTTCGTTTTTCGGTTTCCTATTATTTCCTTATTATTAGAAATAAAAATTCCTATCTCAGTATCTACTTTTTGAAAAATCAAATATCTCGACTCTATTTAAAAGAAATTGAATTCTCTTCAAAAATGGTTCTCTACATTTTTTCGTAAAGCTCACCCTTAAAGGTATCATAACATTTTTTCTAACTAGATCCAAAATTCACGAAGAAACAGAAATATGCCAATTAAACTTGAACTACAATAACCAAAACAATTTAATATAGTTTATAGGGGTTTCAGTAATTTGTATGAACCAATATATACCGTACCAGAAAAATTACTTTATATATTTAGGATCTTTCGCAAACTTAGATGAGAGTTGACACACCTTAAAAGGACTTTCTGTGCTAAGTTTTATTTCAATATCATTATTTATGATTTTTTATTTCCCTGTAAAATGAAGGAATCTGGTGAAATTTAAAATGGCGTCGTATTGGAAATAGTTTTATACCACATTTAATTAAATTAGTTGCAGGGGCATGAGAATTTTTCGAAAAAGTTGGCGGTCTCACACCCATTGTACTTTTCTTATACTAATTCACATGCAAACCTGATGTATTATTCTTATGGTTATATTAAAGGTTTTTGTTTTATTTATTTAATGTTTTTTTCTATTGACGGAATTTTGTACAATAGCCTGATTTCGCCCATTGGCCAGGATTCCAAGGAAAACGGGTATCAATTTTTCTCAATACATGTATCAATTCTTACTCAGAGTATAAAAACACTTATAAAAGAACAATACAATGATAAATTGTGTACTTTCTTGAGTAAAAACTCTTTGGTGACCACATTAAATTCATAATGTTTTATCCTGACAATCGTTTCTAACTCGGTAACTCAGTAAAAACGTTAAAAAATTGTTTCCATTGAAAAAATGGTTTAAGTTTATGGTTATGTTTAAAAGCATACGTGACTTTTTTGCACACACGTTTTTTTATTTTTAGTTTTTTTTTTTCAATTACACTTTTACAAAAAAAACTTACAGCTAATTTGGCCACCCACACCATTTATTATTATTAACACAGTTAAATATATTTTCAACATCGCTCTACTTTTCTAATGTTGGTTAGAAGTCCAAGAACCTGTTGCCGAACTGTCTCAACATTCTATGGTCTACACGATTATATAACACCGGCATATTTGCACTTCCCTGTTGATTTCGCTCTTTACTCTATGTTATGAGCGGAGAGCTTCGTGTTTACTTGCTTGCTCACTGCAAATATCAAAGTTTAAGCTGACACAACCACCACCAACGCTGCATACAAGTTGAAATCTGATAACAGGCAAGCGAGCTTGCCTTGAGCTTGTACTCAAAGTTCAGGAGCGCGAAAACATAATTAACGGTATTCCTCACGGAAGGGCAATTTTTACAAGCTAAATCAACTGACATGCATAAAGGCACACATTTGGGAGAAAAAATAGCCCTACTGTAGCTTCATCGTCGCCATACAGATATTGTAACCATGTTTTGAGTAGAGTAATTTATTTTCTTTTCAAACCACTTCTCTTTATACATATGGGCATTATGCATACAAATTTTATTAAGACAGATTTGAATATTTTCTTTATTTATCTTCTTATATTATATGTAGAAATTATCGAAAGGTTTTCCCATTGTTCCATTAAATTAAGCTTTAATGCAATGTTTTTATACTCTCGCAACTTCTTGCTACAGAGTATAATAGTTTTGTTCACCTAACGGTGGTTTGTATCACCTAAAACTAATCGAGTTAGATATAGGGTTATATATAATATATATATATTATCAGGATGAAGAGACGAGTTGAAATCTGCGTGAATGTCTGTCCGTCCGTCCGTGGAAGCTTTAACTTGAGTAAAAATTGAGATATCTTCATGAAACTTGGTACACATATTTCTTGGTACCGTAAGGCGGTTGGTATTGCAGATGGGCGTGGGGTGAAAATGGGTGAAATCAGATGACAAGCCCGCCCACTCCCCATATAACGGTACTGTTAAAAAATACTAAAAGCGCGATAAACCAAGCACTAAACACGCCAGAGACATTAAATTTTATCTCTGGGATGGTATGAGATGACTTTATAGGAACCGCGTTCAAAATTAGTCAGTGGGCGTGGCACCAGTTTTAGGTGAAAACCCATATCTTGGGATCTGCTTAAATGATTTCAACCAAATTCGGTGCATAACGTTTTTTTTATATTTCTATGTTATAGTGCGAAAATGGACTATAACCACGCCTATTTCCCATATAACACCATTTTCAATTAAATCTGATTCTTTCACTTTCCACTGTGCATATCAAGCAACAATGATTATACCGGGGTAAAACTTTGCGTGAATAATACGTTTAATGTATGCCACCTTGTGACCAAAAATTGTCTAAATCGAACCAAAACTGTTTAAGCCCCTAAGTACTAAATATGTGGACCCCAGTGCCTATAGTTGACCTTCTACCGAAAATATCAGCCAATCCACAAAGAAATCTCAAACGAATATACCATTTGACTTTGCGAGATTATAAAATGTTCAGTTACATCCGAACTTAACGCTTCCTTACTTGTTTACTTTACTTTTGTCAGCTGTTACATATTATTTATGGTCAGAAACCAATCAGCATTCTATTTTTATACCATTAACATTAAGTTTGCCACGATGTGTGTAACACCCAGAAGCAAAAGTCGGAGACCTTATAAAATATATATCATATGTATCTAAATGATCAATGTGACGAGCTGAGACGATTTAGCCATGTCCGTCTGTCTGTATGTACTCGAATTAGTCCTTCAGTTTTTGAGATATCGATCTGAAATTTTGCATACTTTATCGGACCACTAGATATAGCATGTAGCTACCATACAAACTGAACGATAATAAAGTGCTTGCGTGGAAAATTCATATCTCCACGAAATTTGCCATGAATTATTACCTAAAGCAGTAATACAATCTGCGAAGAAGTTGTTATGATCGGATAACTATTGCAAACGACAGAAGTGCGCTTAGCGGACACTTTGAAAATACTTATTTATCCAATTGTAGATCCATTTTGCGCGTCAAGGGCAGAGTTTGGAAAAAATTATTTTTTTCTTTATCAAAATATAAAATATAATTAATGAAATAAAAGAAATTTTGTGCAAATATCACGTGTACCTTTTTTGCAGTCCATAGTTTTTCCTAAAGTTGAACTTATAGTTGTGGTTTCGTTACACCAGTGTTAAGCAAAATTATATTTAAAGTGTAATCAAGCAATAAAGATGGAGTAAAGATTACGCCAAGTATTTGCGGTTACTTTTTTCCTGTTTAAGCTGTGACATATGTAGGTATGTTACAAAAACAGATTGCACTATCCAAATTGAATGAAAGGAGAAGGTATAGAAAAACTGCAATTCAGCAATTCACATAATTTTAAAAAAGAAACCTGACCAATCTTCAATAAAATATCACGGAATAAAAGAATATGGAAATAATTATGTGGGAACTTATTAGAATAACAAAAATCGTTAAAAGTAGTACAAGTATACAATCCATATGGAGTAAAGTCAGCCGGATTTTCGAACATTCTGATTTTAATTATATGGGGGCTAGGTCAAGATTTCGCCAAATATTATCCATTTTAGATACAAAATTACATTGTTATGAGTAAAAATCGGTGTCATTTTTATTGAGATAACTCACATATTGGCCGAAATATGCGGTATAAAGTGACCCGGAAGTTCAAAAATATTTATATTAGGTATATGGGGGCTAAGGGAAGTATTGACTCTATTCAATCCATTTTTGACATACAGTCATACTATTATCAGAAAAGGATCCCCTCTAAATTTTAATTATATATCTCACACATTGACCGATATTTTCGGCAAAAAGTCAAAGTCAAAATTACTGGGGTCCACATATTCGGTACCTAGGGGCTTGACCAGCTTTGGTTCGATTTGTACAATTTTCGTCCATTAGGTGGCATACTTTAAAGAATCAGATGGAAAATAATTAATTAAAATTGTGTTATATAGGAAGTAGGTATAGTTGTGGTCCGAATTTGCCCATTTTCGTACTGTATCATGGAAATGTCATATAACGAGTTTAAATAAAATCGGTTGACATATGCGGTTTAACCTAAAATCTCAGAGGTAAAATTTTATTTTTCTTGCATATTTAGTCATTGATTTGTCGCGCTTTAAGTAGTTTTTAACAGTATCCGTATATGGAAAGTGCGCGAGGCTATAATAAGATTTTATCCATTTTTACAGTGTCGGTAGGGATGCTTAAGAGATTTATCCTGAGTGAATTTGGTTAGTTTAGCTTCAATGGTTTGGGTGATATGTACATTATACTTTTAGAGAGCGTTGCCATGCCCATTTTTTCAAAATTTGTATCCCAAATGTGCCCCTTGCTACTGCGATCCCGTGTGTCAAATTACAGTTCTATATCTTTATTTTGTGCTTAGTTATGACGCTAAATAGGTTTTCGTTTAATGGTATTTTGTGGGCGTGGCAGTGGTCTGATTACTCCCATCTACATGATGAACATTTTTATGGTGCCGAGAAACATATTTATATATATAACCAAGTTTCATCAAGATACCTCAATTTTTACAACTTGCACAGATGGACGAACAGACAGACAGTCTGCCGGCTTTCAACTCGTCTCTTCATCCTCATCATTTAAGTGCATATAACCCTATATCTATCTCGATTAGTTTTAGGTGATACAAATAGCCGTTAGGTGAATAAGCCTATTATACTCTGTAGCAACATGCTGTAAGAGTATACAAATAATTTTATCTAATGAACGAATAAGAATTAAGAATATACATACTTATATAAAATATAAATAACTATTGACAGAAACATCGTAATCACAATTCGATTTAATATATCACTCTATTTGCAATATGTTGACGAAAATTTAAAATATTTATTTTTACATATATTACAAATATATCTCCGATATTATTTCATAACCGTTTCTCTATAATTGCATAGTAATACATTAAAACTATCATTAATATACATATATTGTATATATCTTTAAAGTCGACAAAAAGGAAAACTCATTTTCTAAATCTCTAAATACTTAGTTAAAATATGAAATTAGCCCAACTCATTTTGAAAAAAAAAAACGAAATAAATTTATTGTCTGCAAAATTTAAATGCATTCCCTTCATTTATGTACTAATTTAAATTTCTAGCACACAACTGTAGATGCCTAACGCCTTAAGCTTTTAAAAAGCGGAACAAATTTACGAGTGCAAGCATTGGCATTCTGATTATTCTTTTTCTACAGAACAATTCCATGAGCGTTGAAAAATGTGCGGGTGTTCCTTGCCCTTAGATATGCCGATATGACGCGCTGTTATGCGTCATTGAAAAGTGCGACACAATGCAAAAAGTGTCACCATAGCCATTAATATGATAAGCATGGTAAATGATCTAAATAAATGTGTATATATGCATATATTACACCCGTGTATGTACTGTGTACATACCTTAGTCCATATGTATGCTTAATAGAGTACTTTCAATTATAAGAGTATTTTTATAGATTTGTATACAAATGTAAGTATTTTCGTGATCGCTGGAAACGACCTGTACAAAACGGACGACCTTCACATTGAAGCTCAATTGGGCGCGTTGAACGCTAAGTTGTTGTTTATGTCACTATGTGTCAACGCACTCCAATTACTATTTTGCCACCTACAAAGCTACAAACATATAATATATATGCATGTGTTTATGAATATTCACGATTGGAATATAGCATATGTGTGAACGTAGAGATGGTGTTTTGCCGAATTGTATGGTAGACAATGTGTGGAATGTATGTAGTATGAATCGATGTACCGGTTATTCGCATTTTTGTACTTCCAAATAATAACCGAATGGTTAGTCAGCACGTCAAAGGTGTCAAACTAGGAATTGCATTGTTGCATAGTGAGTTCATAGTAAAATACTCGTAGAAATTGTTGTTTGACAATGAACTTTTTGCGAGCAAGCACAAAGTTATGCGTTTAACACAACCAACAGTTTAATAATTCGTAAAGATTTTTGTATTTGCACACAAGTAGACATTTATCCCTTTTGTGTATGGGTATGCATAAATTATTGATACATATGCATGTATTTTTATTTTCTACCATTTTCCTGTCTTTCAAATTACGTTCATGGCTAATAATTTCGTTTATAATTGTTCTTTGAAAATTCTTTTTTTTATATTCGGTCTAGTACCTTAGTGTTTAAGTACGGATATATGTAGTAACAGAGAGCGATAGACTATGGACATCGGCAGCTGTCTTTCTAATGATGAGATCATTAGCTGAGCAAGAGAAAAAAAAAGTCGCAGAAGATGACTATGACTGAAATTGTTGACTAATTTATTGAAAACGATTCAAATTTTGATTCAGGAGTTCAAAAGCGGGTCAGAGTGT